GACTATACATACAGTTTATGTAAATTCCAAAGATTGTCAAATGTGTCATTCAGTAATAAGACAAAGTGGGTGTCTTTGTTACTTTGAAATGTCACAGCTGACTAGGAAGAAAAGATGATACAGATCAAGGAAAAATTCTTGCTGTATATGCTCAAGGCCTGAAGGAAAAGGTTATGATCATAGTTTTCTTGTGGATAAAGAAAAACACCCTTCTCTCTTGAACAGACTGGAGCTAGCAAACTGATGTTATCAATGATCACTGGCTATTAGCTTCTTAGAAGAAACTGCTGATGGATGGCACTAAATATTGTACCTTTTCCCCCCATGACACTCAACTACAAGGTGTTGGACTGACAATATTTGCTGGTGTTAACTTAGAATTGCTAAGAACACTTTGGAGAATACAACCACTCATTGTCTATAATTTCAGTATGTGCCTGGCATATCTGTTCACTGTACATTCATGAAGAGATTCTTACATACTACAGCTGCAATACTGAGCATGATTACCTGGAACTAAACACAATGAAAGCAGTATGCAAACAAAGTAGTCTGAAAGAAACGTAGCAGAAAGGCATCAGATACTGCATAGGAATAATATATAGAAGGAAAAATGTTGGTTAAAAACTGCTCCTCCTAACTCCTGTCTTTATTTCCAATGGCTCAGTATTTAAACAAAAACTACAGACAAGCCTTTGGAAGCCTCCTAATACAGCAGCAGAAATCTTTTAAGGTATGTCATCCGAAATGATTAACAGAAGAGATGCCAGTCAGCTTGGTCAGTTTAAGACCACAAGGTTTGTATGGGTATGTGTGTCTTTAATTTCTTCAGACCACAAAAAGGTTAATAAATAAACTATAACTACAGAGACAGAGCAGCCCAGTGAATAAACCACAGAAACTCGTAGCACAGTATGAAGAACAAAATTAACAGCCATCAAGATTTATGATTTTTGGCCACGCTGATCTTAGATCATCATTCAGCTAAGGCAAAGGGGAAAAGAAATGGGTTTAGGATGACACTAGCCATTCTGCTTAATTATTATTTTGTGCTTCATATTCAGAAGCTAAGCAGGGTTAGCCCTGGATGGATATCACTATGGAAGTCCAGCACCACAACACAAGAGGCAGGCAATCGCACATCACCTCTTGGGCACAACCCTATGCCTAAACCCAGGAGACAACACTGGGGAAGGCCTTGGCTTCCATGTCCTGTTAGCCTTCCAGGGCTAATTTGCCACTTGATATTTTTGGATTGCTGGATTAGCATTATTTATGTCCTTATTTTATGATTTTAATGTTTTTACTATGTGTTCTATGTCATCCAGAGTCCTGCAGTTGCAGGGATTGGGTGTTTCATCGTCGTCATCATCATCATCATCACAATAATAATAATGTGTGCCTTTAATTTTTTTCTTCAGACCACAAAAAGGTTAATAAATAAACTATGTAGACAGAGCAGTATAGATGGCCACTATGTGAACCATGATGCTGGAGTAGATGGACCACTGGTTAGATGCAGCATGCTCCTCTTATATGTTCTTACGTACTAATGTTTTTCCAGATGGTAGGACCACTTCTTCTTCAGCTTTTTTGTTTTCTGAAAGCTGCAGCAATATATTATCTTTCAGAGGGCAGGGGAAACATAATAAACAAATGAGTCTGAATTTGTTTTACGTAATGATTTCATTCATAATTTAGCATGAAGGCCTGGGTCACTCTCATCACAGATCAATCGACAAGCTTATGCTAAAATGCTCCTTGGCTGCATTAGAATATCTATATTCATTACTTCTCATCTAGTCCTTTCCCCTACAGTTTCTCTCTTTCTTCCACAAATGGACAATATAGGCCTAAATAATCCGTTTTACTTTTCAGATACAAAAGTTTTTGTTTTACCTCTACAGACCGGGGGCGGGTTGTCAAGAAACTGCTCACCCAAGGAAGGTTTGGACATAATCTTTTGCACAGGTCTTTGTTAAATTCCTTTGGGTTTGATCCTGGAGTTTGTCAGCTGTTATCAGGTTTCAAAAACTTAGTACTTTTCCATGGCCTCCGGACATCTTTAGGAAGCTTTCTCTCAAAGGTGTTTTCTAGCGGAAGTGTCTTAAGGAAAACTGAGAACTGCAGTAGAATAGCTGTGAATTTTGAAGTTGGTGGAGCTATAATGGGGAAGACAGACATTTAGGCATGTGTATTCCACATTTGTGTACATAATACACAGTACTAAGCTCACCTGTGCTTCCCCCCGTATTTGTGTAGATAGGGTTGCCAACTTAGGGCTGCCAGCCTCCAGGTGGGACCTGGGGAACAGTGGGACCTGGGGATCACCTTCAAAACAATTTTTCTATCCCGATTTTCAACTTTTTCACTCTTTACTATCGGGAAGTTCATTTTTTCTTAACTTACATTCCTTAATTACAGGATAGGGTTGCCAGGTCTGATTTGGAAAATATCTGGAGACTTTGGGGGTGGATCCAGGAGAGGGCAGGGTTTGGGGAGGGGAGGGGCCTCAGCATGGTACAATGCCATGGAGTCCACCCTTCAAATCAGCCATTGTCTCCAGGAGAGCTGATCTCTGCCAGTTGGAGATCAGTTGTACAAGCGGGAGATCTCCGGGCCCCAACTGGAGGCTGGCAAGCCTATTACAGGAGGCTCAGGGCCAATTTGTGTAATGGTCCGTAATGGGTTTTAACATGTGTAAAAGAGATCACACAGTAATTCAGCCACAAGTTTCACACCTACGCACATTTACCTGGGAGTAAGCAGCATTAACCATAATAGGAATTACTTCTCAGAAAAGAAGTGAAGGCCTGGGAAAAAATCAGAAATTTGGGGACGCACTGGGGGGAAAAAACCCTTTTTTCATGTTGAAATGAATGAAATGTGCGAAGATAGCATAGGGATGCAACAGTCTGCAGTTATCTCTCACTTTAGCATTGGGTATATTTGCTGTTTTCCCTGTATATTTTAAATTCTATAACTATTTTAATTAGTACAACTGTATAAGATAACAAAGTTATAAATGATGCCTGTTAAAGCAGCAAAATAAGTTTAGGTTTGATAGGAAAGAAAGTATTGCATACATTCCAGCCTCTCACCTGGAAACCTGTGCCCCCATTGTGTAGTGCAAGCTGAGCTGGGTCCATTTGCACTCTGGGGAACCTGCAAAGATTTGGGGGCATACTTCACTTTTCCCTTTAACCTCTCCCTACACTATTTTGTCTTTAACTCTTCCTAGCAACTTCCAAATCCCCACTTTTCCCTGCTCCCTTCTCTTTTCTCCCACCAACTTAACTTTGATCTACATTTATAACCCATCTTTTTCCAAAATGGACTCAAAGCAGCTTACATAATTCTCTCCTCCATTTTATCTTCACAACAACCCTGTGAGGTAGATTAGGCTGTGTTATATAGGAGACTCAACACAGCTAGTGAACAGTGAATCAGCTTTTATTAATGAAATCAGAAGAAATCAGAAGAGACAAGAACATAGAGCAACAAGCTCTCTTTTAAACAGTCCGGGCTTAGGTAGCCACGCCCACATGTTAGCTAACAACCAATAACTATTTACAGATAAGGTCCAATCAGAGTGCTTCCCTCCAGAACATTGCACAGCTCTGATTGGTCTATTTACAATCCTGGTTCAGACTCAAGCTTAATATAGTTTTTCAATAACACAACAGGCTGAGAGTGTGTGTGATTGGACCATAGTCACCCAGTTAGCTTCCACAGAAAAGTGGAGATTCGCACCTGGGTCTCCCAAGTCCTAGTCTGAAACTCTAATGGCTACAGTCAGAGGTCATTTCGGGGGGGGAACGCGGGGGAATGCAGTTCCCCCGGGTTAGGTGCAGGGGGGCGGGGCACATGATGAAGCCCCGCCCCCTGCTTCGGCCGCCCTGCTTCCAGCCCTCATTCAGCCAGGAGGAGGCAGGAGAAGAGGGAGGGTAAGTTGCTTCCTCCCCGCCTCTCCGCACCCCTGCCTGCCTGGGGCCAGGGAGGGCCTTGGCGGGGCTTCCTCGCACTCCCGCTGGCCTTGCAGGTCCACCGCCAGGCCCCTGATGTCAGGGGGTGGGGCATATGCTAATGAGTTATGCTAATGAGTTCCCCTAGCTCTTTTTCTACGAAATGACCCCTGGCTACAGTACACTGGCTTTTGTGGGGTGGCAAGCAGCTCGGCCTGGGTGAGTCATGCCAGCTGCATGGCAGTAACTTGCCTGGAAATTGCCGCTGAGTCTGGCCACAGTAAATTGTCCCTCAAATGCCAGAACAGCCCTGGAAAGGACCCTGCCCCCTCCCCCTGCCTTTACTGACACAAACTTGGAATCCTGGCAAAACTCTGGGCACTGCATAGTAACAGCCAGAGGGCATCCATTTCTTAAAGCTACATGTATTCCTTTTATCCTTTGGGGGATTTTAACCTCCCCCCAATGAATTTTTTAAAGAGATTTCAGATTTTCCTACAAATCTGGGGCACTTTTCAGGTTTGTCAAAAGATCTGTCTTGGTCCTTGTAGGGGCAGTCTCTAGATTTAAGTGTCCTCAGATATATAACCAACTTAGCTATTACTATATAGTGGGTCAAGGCTGCCTTTACTTATATGTTTGTGTCATGAACCTCTTCCAGTCTAAATAGCCAAAAGATTCTTTTTTTGTTTCTACAGAAATAATAAACACACATGCCCCGCTGTAGGTGTGAAACACAGCTTTCCATCTAGTCTTCCTTTCCACGCGCCTGCTCCTTCCACTCTGTACTCCCCTTTAAGGAGTTCTTTAAATCGGAGGCCACAGGCCACGACGCCGCCCTTCCCTTTAACACTCGCGTCTTCCTTTGCCGGAAGCGGTAATGGTGCTCTAGTGATACAGGAAGCGAGTGAGCAGGGGACCTTTTCCCATCTGTGGGGGCAGCGCGTGAGGGCGCAGTTGGGGTTTGGGAGGGGGGGGAGGGGAAACGAAGGGCTTTTCCATTTCGTCTTAGAGAGGAGCCGGGGCTGAGTGCCCTGTCCGCCCATGGAACCCGCCCCGGCGGCGGCCACTGAAGAAGTGGGAGTGGAAGAGGAGGCGGTGGAGGCGCCGCCGGTCATCTACACCATGGAGAACAAGCCCATCGTTACCTGTGAGTGGCCGGAACGCTGAGGGGAAGGGGAGGCGGGTCTCTGCGGCGGGGGGCGGGGTGACCCCCCCCCTTGTCCCCCCCCCGGGGGGCAGGCAGGTAGTGCCGTGGAGAGGGGACGGCCATGGATGGCTTTTCCTCTCCTCCGCGAAAGGGAGCGGTCGGGGCTGTGACCGGGTGTGTGTGTGTCCCTCCGTGGATCTCCCCCTTCCACCAGCAGCCTTGGCCAGAGAGGCGTTTGGCGGGCGCGGGGTGGAGGGGGGGGGGGCTCCGTTGGCACGCGAGGAGCTCCGAGACCTGGCGATGCCGCCGCGGGCGGTCTTCGTGCAAGTCGCTTTCTCTTGGGTCTGTTTTCCTCTTTTGATAGAATGGGGATAAGCGCTGTTTCGAAACAGCACGGGTTGCCTACGATGTAGGAAAATCCAGGATGCCCTGAAGTGGACTCTGGTGTTCGCCGGTTGCACGCGGCTGTCTTCACTGCCCGTGTTTTAGGTTAAACAAGTGTCCGTGTATTGGCCAGCTATCGCCGCACGCTCCCTTTATAGGGGATGGATTTCTCTTCTAATTCCCCCCCCCCTCCTGTAATACAAGAGAAGAACGAGGAGAAGTTAAAAGAATGGGATTTGCATGACGCCAGCCTGTTGTGTCCAGGACAGAGGTAGAATTTGAAGCCGGGTGTCTCATGCAAAAGGCAGCGGCCCCGTTGCTGAGGTTGTGTGGCTTCAGGACCTCCTCAAGATGCAGAGCAAGTACCATCAGTTTTCTGGTGGGCAGGGAGGAAAAGTCCGTGCTCACCTTCTCCGGTAGTTTTTCCTGCCCTTAAAGAACTAGGAGGAAAACAGAAATGCCTCCTTTCTCCTGTCTGTGGAGATATATGAAGTTGTCCTATCATGTATTAATGTGAACATGTATATAATAAGAAGTAACTATATTCCCTTCCAATCTTCACAGTATATATAAAATTACTAAGATTGTAATTTTAAGTTGTTTTAATGTAATTGTAAGTTATTGTAAGAATAAGTAAGGAGTTGTTTAATAATTTTATGGGGGATATGCATCAAAGCAAACAGCTACGTCACCCTGTGCTATAGGAAAAGTTTCTCTTCTTAGCCTCAATTCCATTTGTAAAATGAAAATGACAGCATTCTCCCTTGCGACACATTGACATTGATTTACAAAATCACAGTGTATATTCTGAAATCCAGTGTAATGTAATGGATATATTATTTACTGGGTACACTGAGAGGGAGAGCAAATCCATTAGGGTGCAGGTTGGTTCAGTGGCTGAAAGTGTCACCCTAAGTAGAGTTACTCTTCTAAGCTGGTTGACTTTAGTGGGTTTACTAGGGTGTAACTCTGCTTAGGAAGACACTGAGATGTCTTTAATTTGTTTTTGTTTGTGCAGCATACTGATGCATCTTTTCTAGCACTCGTAATACTAAAACCATAGTGGCTTTTGTGTAGTTTTATTTCATGCCATCGTATTATCATCACAGCGTTCTGAAAATGAACTGGTGAGTTGATTCTCCAATCTGATTGTTGTTAAGATAATGTAAAGCCAATTTAGTTCTGTTAAAGTTGATGTAACTGAATTGGATGTTAAAATATACTTGTATTTATAAATCATTTTGGGATGCTCAGGACACTGGACATAGCAGTTCTTACAATGACTCTAAAAGGCAGGTATTATCCTAGTATCGTGGGTTGGGTATTGTGTGCACATGCTTAGGCAGAGAGAGACCACTTGGGGAGGTGTGTGATTGAGGGCCACATCTGGGCCGCAAAAATGTTAAGCACAAATACTGGATGGGGGATATGTTTCTGGGGAGTAGTGTATATGAAAGAGATCTTGGGGTAAGGGTGGACTGTAAATTAAATATGAGCAGTCAGTGTGATGCGGTGGCAAAAAAGGCGAATTCAGTCTTGGGTTGTATTAAAAGGGCCATAGCATCAAAATCTCAGGAGGTCATAGCCCCTCTGTATACTGCCTTGGTCAGGCCGCACCTTGAGTACTGTGTGCAGTTCTGGAGGCCTCACTTCAAAAAGGATGTGGACAAAATCGAGAGGGTGCAGAAGACAGTGATGAGGATGATCAGGGGTCTGGAGACTGAGCCCTACGAGGAAAGGCTAAGGACCTTGCGAATGTTTAGTTTGGAGAAGGGGAGATTGAGGGGGGACATGATTGCTCTCTTTAAATATTTGAAAGGCTGTCATTTGGAGGAGGACAAGGAGCCGTTCCAGTTGGCAGCAGAGGATAGGACCCGAAGCAATGGGTTTAAATTACATGCAGAAAGGTATCAGTGAGATATTAGGGAAAACTTTTTCACGGTCAGAGTGGTCCAAAGGTGGAATCAGCTGCCTAGGGAGGTGGTTAGCTCCCCTTCACTGACAGCTTTCAAGAAGAGGCTGGATGAATATTTGTCAGAGATGCTTTAGGCTGGTCCTGCATTGGGCAGGGGGTTGGACTAGATGGTCTGTATGGCCCCTTCCAACTCTGTGATTCTATGATTCTATGAGGCATTTGAACCCAGAGTCTTCCCAACTGAAGTTGCCACACCTGCTCTTTATATCATGCTTTTATCTTAAATAGGTTGTAGACTGAGCTATTTGTCAATAACAAATCAGGTGACACCCATGCACACACTAGCGAGCGTCTCTGTTCAGTTGTTGCTATGGAGTTCAAAATGTTGTATATTCCTGCTAAAGGTTTGTCAACATCCATTCTCTCATTTGAGTTATGGGTCACTTTTTAATAACTTCAGAATTATTACAAAAGAAATGCTTGTCTTTCATTTCTGGCTATCAGTAAAGTTGTTCTTGTTCGTTTAAATCACTGCTAGTTTAATGCTACATTGTGAAGCTTTGTAAGGGTTTCTGCTTTAAAAATCAATGTGATAAACACTTCAGTTCTTCAAGTTCTGAAAAAAAAATTTTGATGCAGACTCAATTAAATGAGCTCTGTGAAGCCTTTAAGGATGTTTTACTTAAGTGGACAGGGACATAGCTGTAGAACTGAGAATAACTTCCTGAACAGTAGGGTACTTTTCAAGCCTTACCTTGTTTTAACTCTTGGCACCAGGGCATGTCAAGAATGTCAATTGTTGGCGAGAAGGGGACACTCAAATATCACCCATATCCCATCCAAAATTTTAATCTTTCTAAACTGCCAATGTAATTATAGTCAAAGAGGGTTGGAAGAAAGAAGGGAAAGTAAAGTTTCAGCCTGTTTTTTAAAATACTATTGTGTGTTTGAGTGCTGTTCTAACTTTCTGGAGAAAAGTCATAGTTTTACTTAGATGTGCAAAGAAAAATGCAACGACAGCACTACATAAATCTAAATTATTGAAGATGAAGAAAAACTCAGAATGGAGGTTCCAAATAAAACAATTAGCAGATTAGTGGTTAGCAGAGAACTAGCCATGCATCATCAAAGACACCAATAATCATGCAATAACTGTCTGGAATATCAAGATAATGTCACAAAAATCTTTCCATGTCTACATGTTATGGACTTCCCCATCATAAGCTTCTATAGCTGTAATATTAGGAGGCTTTACATGTAGAAAAGAAGGGCCTGAGTCTTGCTGCAGAGCCAGTGCTTCTGTATTGTATTGATGACTGTGACAAAATAATTTTGCAAGGGGAAATCATGGAAGGGAACGTGGGCAAGCAAGAATGGAAACTACAATGGTAGGATCTCAGTCGGTAGCTGTAACCTGGCAGCTTTTTGGGAAAAAGCACAGAAATGGGAGGTACTTATTTTCTACTCCCAGAAGGTGTTGATGAGACCTGATCCTATATGCAAGAATGAGTCAGAGGTATTTGGCCAATAGTATTAATAGGTGGAGTAATTGGTCTTCACCCAGTAAAAATCTGCTCACTACTGCTTTTCCTTGTATGTGATTAGAGTTTTCTTTCAATATTGTTCACTTGTATCCTCTTTGTTGTTCCTTGTAATATGGTCTTTACTTGGCAAGCCCCTTCTTTGCTTACTGGGAAGAGGTTAATATTTTAGCCCAGCAATAATTGAACTTCTAGTAGGGGTTTGCTGGACTACTAAAGATAAGGAATCTGAGAATGAAAGGTTTGATCCAGTAGCCTTTAGTTGGTAGTCTTGGCTGGTTGTTCTCCTTTTATCATGGTTCCCATTTATGTTTTTGAATGCCAGGTCTATATGTATTGTTCTGTGCTGCCACGCTTGATTTGAGACAGGTGCACTATTGCTGAGGGTTATGTTCTCCTAGTGTCGTCCTATTACTGGCTGTTTGGTATCCTGGGCATCAGCGTGGCTGTTGTCATGGTGGTATCTGGCATCTACATTCTTTGAATATTTTTACTTGTACCACCTATTTTGATGGGGCAGGTGCAACCAACACTTGCTGGAACATAAGATCTGAACTAAGCTAGTCACTTCTTCAGTCCTTCCCATTGCATTCTCATCTTCTATTTATGCCATTATGGCAGTATAACAGTTATGGCAGAGCATTTGTGCTGAAGATTACATCACTGTAGTTGCTGTGCCAGTTTAAGGATTTAGTAGCAATCCTGCTTTAATCTTGCTGCCATCATTTGACGATGGGATTTCATCGCTAATCTACTCAGACTATGTAAATTACTTGATTTGAGACTATTCACTATAAATAATCTGCATATGTGATTATCACATACTGTTCAGTGTTTATTTTTAAACTATCATTTTAGTTGAATGTCAGGAGTCAGTAGAACTTGCTAGTGATTTTTCTTCTTCATCCACAGTAAGTCACTGACAATGTGTAGTCTTACTTGCTCTAGTGAAGGCTACAATAAGTATCTGTGGACAGAAAAATACACTGTTTGTTCAGGACAAATTCCAGAAGTGTAACTATGTTAGTCAGTTGCAATTACAAGAGTCCTAGGTATTGAATCCTAACTGGTTGGCATGAGCATTCATATTCAAAGGAGTGTATCAGCAGGTAAAGTGGACTAAGAATCAGAGGGATGCGTACACATGAAGTAAAGTAAGC